CTATGGACTTTACATTTTTAAAGTTTTGAAACAAGTTCACCCAGACACTGGTATTTCGAGGAAATCCATGAACATCATGAACTCCTTCCTTGTTGATACTTTTGAGAAAATTGCAACTGAAGCCTCCAGATTGTGTAAATACACCAGAAGGGACACCTTATCATCACGTGAAATTCAAACTGCCATCAGATTAGTATTGCCAGGAGAATTGGCCAAGCACGCAGTTTCCGAAGGAACCAAGGCCGTTACGAAATTTACCTCTAAGTAATTTTGGTACCACAGGCCCGTTGCCAAAATGGAACATAAAAAAAGGAAAAAAAAATAAAAAAGTGTAAATAAGCATCAAGAGAAAAAATTTAATATGATATATAAAAATGTTTAAAAAAAAGTGAAATTAAAAAAAAAAAAAAGTGGGACTTTGCACCCTTTAAAAAAAGAAGAAAAAAAAAAAAAAACCTAACTGAAAGCTATATATGAAAAGAAGAATAATTACACAGGGTCTAAAGACAAAGCAGAAACAAGTTGCAGTTATGGATGTCTCGGTACGATTGGAATGGAAACATCTCTTTCGTTCAACGAGTAGCTCCCTCTACTGCCGTCTAATTTGTCCATCAAGTTCTTCATTCATATAGTAGAAGAAGAGAAAACCAAAGCTGAATTGCATGTAATCTCAAAATGGCTATGCCCACACCCCAGAGCGAGACGGTTTGCACAATTATCTCTCTTTTGCATGGCAGCCCAGGCAGTGTCCATACAAACATTTCGCACCAAATTAAAACGAATGCTATAATGAACAGTAGGAGGAATGATGTATGAAGCTCTGTTCATGCGTTGTTGTGTACTTTTCTGTCCATTTGCATGCTCCCATGTATGCACCTGTACATATGCACTACCTTCGCATGAGCGGCGCGGTGCACTATCCGGGAGATTCGCACGCATACTCGGTATTTTTTTCGACTGGCAGTTTTGGGAAAGTGATGTGAATGCGTTGCCATATCAGGACCAATGCATTCATATTGTTAGCCTTAAAATTGTCATCGAAAAATTGTATGCGTGTGTACTCCTCGTGCATCTGTGTGCATCTGGTTAAGTCCCGCAGTGTGCTTAGAATTTCCACCCCATACACAGTATAGTGCCGTACACATATTTTGTGTACTTTTTCATGTTTTTTTTTTTTTTAAGTTTAGTTAAATTTAAATAAACACCTTTACGAAGGCTTCACTAGAAGCCATTCCTTTTTTAACCCCTTCCTTTTGCGACAAGAAAGAATTGAAATATCCGCGAGGAAATGTAGATGCGTGGAAGGGTCTTTGTGTGTCCTCATTGGACCGCTTCGATTGTCTTATTCGGAAAAATGGAGCACGTGTTGAATCAGTATTATTGCGTTGCGAAGCAACCCACGCAGCGGTTCATGTGTGTGCAACGTTTCACATTCGAATGGTTGCAAGCGTGTTGGGTTAGGTTGTCCACCTGGGTGGAGGAGTTTCCAATGCGGGGAAGGTTATCCCTGTCGGCATTATTTCGAAGGGATAACCTTCTTAGTTGGTTCTCTTTCTCAAATGAATCATCTTATGGTACCTTCCCCAATGGGGTTCCACTTGTGAGTAACTCTTTTGTAGAACCCTTACTTGTACACGTTATAGGGGCCCAAATGGGAATCCTCCTAACGGAGATATTCGAGGCAGCCTTTAACCTCAAATAGAGATGCTTCCCACTCAGAAGGGTGGTCCCCCCTTTTACTGCTTTATGTCATCTGAAGTGATCGTGAATGTGCAATACGCTTCGCATCAAATATGACTAGGCCCTTCTGTACAGAGAAAAACGATTCGTTAGTCAAGATATTCACACAATGCCATGTGCAAAAATGTAATTAAGAACTACCATCTGTTGTTTTATATGTTCGTGCGCGTTGGCCCTACATGTGCAGCCACGAGAAAACATACCTCACTCTTTGCCAGTAGGGCCGTTCCGTGGCAGTTCCACTCCGCCATCTTGCACATGAACCCTGAAGAGGGGGGGAGGGAGGAGGCGTCGGTTAGAAGGAACACATGAAAGTGACACGTGAAAGTGACACGTGGCACAGGTGAACATTACGCAGTGGTCGGTACTCCTTTGGGGGAAGGTTACCCTCCTCCACCTACCGCAAGGCATTTCCAGTATGGCGCACTCGTTCGGAAGCCACACAAATAAGTGCGGTGAATTCGTGCAAATGAGCAACCTGCGTGGTTAACGGGGAGTATACTCATGGGTAGGCAAATTGCAGAAGCAAATCTGTCGACTTAATTTCATCAAAAAATGGGGGAAATAAAAAAAGGAAAACTTTTACCTTGCCTTGCACAGAATATTATCCCACCGTAAGTAGGTTATTTTTTTTTTCTGTTGCAGTATGGCTACACAAGTGTAATTCTCCGTTGTGTAGATCCGGACCACGTTGTTGTGGCTCTCTGGAGGAGTTGCATCAGGGTGGGGGAGTCACCACATTGGCGGAGTAATCACATGTGGAGAGTAGTCCCATCGGGGGAGTAGTCCCATTTTGGGGAGTAACCCCGTGGAGGTGATTCCATTTATTTCTTTCACTGACGTTGGGGAGGCGTGTCCACCAAGGGGGAACACTCGCAGCAGTAGGAATGCATCCCAATGGGAGCCATGCTCTCATGACACAGGGGGTCCAACCACCTTTTGCGCGGCCATCACCCTCTGAGCGGCCATCACCCTCTGAGCGGCCACCACCCTTTGAGCGACCATCTGGACATACCACTTATGATCGACATGAAGGTCCCACACAGACTGAAAGATAAAAAGGTGATCCCCACTGGAAAGAATACATCCGTTATCCCCTTCGGAACAGAGTCAGCTCCTTTTTCCTGTAAAGCGGGGATAAGGTGATTCCATTTGGGAATGGCTATTTCGACTAGTTGGAGCTCTTATTAGGAGAATTTTTGTCATGATTAACACTGTGTGTTGCAAGTGAATGCAGCATGATAATATCGCCACGTAGCGTGAAAAACGAAAAAAAAAGAAAAGAAAAAAAAGCCACTCCACAGGAGGGTACCTTTTCACACTTCAGCAGTTTGTATTCACCTTCCTTAACACCTTCCGAGACTGTTATAAAGGGGATGGATATCCATACGTATATTAACCAGCTAGTACAAACATGCAAGAGGGACAAAAAAAAGGAGAGAAAGATAAAAAAAAAAAGAGTTAAATGGGGAGGTTATCCCTATTAATATATCTCCACTCATTTAACACCCTCTTACCGTTGCTGTAAAAGGAGAAGTTTTCCTTTCTCTCCTTTTGGGGGGTGGCGCTGTGCAGGGTTTGCAATTGGCCAAGGTGGGTATATATGTGAATATGGACATCTGCGTTTGGCGAGGGAGTGGCTCATCCTTGTGGACGCCAATACGCAAACGTCATCACAACTGTGTGGGGGTCATTCTACCCGCGTCTTGCATACAAGACCAGGTGAAGTGTTTTTTTCCTATAAGAGAATACATGTTGTGTTGTTGCCAACACCAGTAGTTACAACTGTGCATGCACTTCTTTGCCTCCCCCCCCAGGTCCCCTTCTGGCTGCTATACTTTTACACACAACACGTAAACCAACTTGGGCGATAGAACCCCGTTTAGGAAGTTCCTTGTGGGGGTATTCTCTTTATATATTTTCTGTCATGTGAAGAGGAATGCATTTGGTATAAAATGAGCTTATCTTCAGACACGTTTTTCGGGTACCACCCAAATGTGTATCCCATAACACATCGCAGTGCAATCATAGTCGTCCCATCAGCTGTACCATTTTCTCGTTCATTATCACCATCTCGCTTAAAGTTATTTTTTTTATTTCTTTCAAATTGTCCAGGTGTAGAATTGTGACCTGTGTGAAGGAGCCCATGGGCCAAGTGTGCATATCGCCCACGAGCTGTGAATGGAAACCCTCGTGGCTGCGGAGCGGTTGGAGCGATGTTCACTCGGCATCGATCACCAACAGTTGTGCTCTTTTTAGCCGCATCGATCACCCCTTACAACTCCATCTTCCATGCCCATTGAGAGGACATTCCGCTTCTCATTTTTCGACGCGAGTGTCACACCTGTGTTGGTTGTAACGATTTGGTGGTAGGTTCATCAGACGGTGGTGCCCTACACATATGTGTAACGCTTCCAAGGTGGATTCCGCCGCCCATCTCCATTTGGGAGGAAATTATTTTCAACTACATCCGGGTTCTCTCTCCCCCCCTCTCTTACACGCTAAGTTCGCCCCGAAGTTATAAACATAGAGTAGGTCCCCACTCGACTTGTACACATGCACGGATTTGTACTTATTACTATACGCGATGATGTCATTCAGTGCTGAGAAAAACAGCTCACTGGGATTGAAGTTAGTGCAGATTATTTCGTTCTTGATTTTATAACTCTGCAAACAGAGCAGCACTATTTTGTTTTGCTTGTTCGATTCGGTTAGGCAGCCTAGAGTTTCATGTCCTGCGCTCAGACAATACGCTTTTTTCCTTTTCGACTTCACATGTTGGATGGTGACTAGAGAATGCTCCGCGTCGTTCACGTCGTAGATGCTTATGCATTTCTGAGGGGGGAGATAAGGACAAAAAATGGGGCAGTCATGGAGAGTTCCAAAAAACATATATGCTGCTCCCAACTCAGGCGAAGCGATCGTGGGATGATCCATTCCCAGAGATATATGCCCATTTAAGGACAGATCATAACGGCACCGTCGGTTCTTCCCCCCTTTATGTCTCCTCACCCGTTCGTACTTCTGAATGCATATGTTCGTCCCTTGGCCGAGAAAAAAGGAACAGACATAGGCCTGGAAAGGGTCCTCTATTACGCTAACCACGTCACCACTATACAGCGAGTAAACGGAGACACACCCCTGCTCCTTTGCTAACGCCAAGAAATGAATATGATCCTCCGAAAAATCAATCGAGTCAACTTTGTAGCTGTTCACATAAATCCGATTTAAGTCAAGCGAAACAGATTCGATTAAAAATATTTTATTTGCAATTGTGTAGAGTAAGAATAATCCATCTTTGGAGAAACAACACAAGTCACACTTTAGCACTTTGGACTTCATCATCCTCCCCCGTCTGCAGTGTGTTGAGAGAGTGTCCTCAGCGAGTGTCTTCAGATAGTGTATTCATGGAGTGTGCCAATCCAGGCTGCTCATCGTCAGAGCTCTCCCCTGCGGGTTCGGAGCACTTTGTGCTTATCCTCTATTCCCCATGTGAGCGCCCCAACATGGCACACTCAAAAGTAGATGGATCGAATAAGTAGACGGCAAAGTTTTCCCCTTTATGAATTGTCGCCCTGTCTGTTGCTTCTACGCATCAAAGTGTATCGCTCGCGAGACGCATCACACACAATAGTCACGCCTCCGGGGGGGAGTGTTAAAGGCACCCGGCCTTGACACACAAAAAGATGACTCGGGAAGACGTGAAAGTCGATGCCAGCCTTAGCCACGTCTCACCAAATTGACGCTAAAATGCACATCGGGAGTAGTAACCTCATGGGGAAAACTCCCATCTTCGAAAAAGTAAAACAAAAAGGACAAAGACAGTGTAAGCTGGCGGTTCAAATGAACAGTCTCTTGCCATAATCAAGCAAGGTTAAAATAGAAGAAAAAAAATAAATAAAAAAATAAAAAATAAAAAAAAAAAAATGTTAAAAAGCAAAGGAGAGCAATGGCGAGGGGGCCAATACGAATAAGAGGGAAGTAATTCCCACAGGGAAAATACGACATAGGGGAATATTCTCCACACAACAATAAAAGGTAAACACACACATTGCGATGACACACTGGTGATGGAATCGAAAATTCAGGGGACCTATCAAACACATGTGTCGACGGTCGAGGACGGTTGACCCCGCCCTTCCGATAACACGGCCCAGCACAGTTCAGTGCGACCCACGTGTGGACATCCCAGATCGCTTATCTTCCACAGAATCATGCATAAATAAAACATGGCACTGCGAGGTGGAGCGAAACACAGATGATTCAAGCCGAGGGAACAATCTCAACTTCATTCTTCCATGGGAAAGGCGCCATAGAAAGGAGGGTCTCCTTAGTCAACCGTCGATGGGCAGCTATTCTTGGTGTCATCAAAGAAGTGGTGCTTCATTTTGCTCACCTTCATTTTACTAAGGGAAAAAAAAAAAAAAAAAAAGGGGGGGAAGAATAATCAGTAGGGTAGATGCGCAAAGGGGAAATGCGCAGCCGAGGGGGCTGGGAAGGACAATACCACGGAAAGCTTCTCCAAGCTCATCCTTCGTTCAGACGTCAGCACAGGGGCAAAAGGCTTCCCTGTGTTGCACTGCCCTTCTCTGCGCTCCCCTTGGTTACTCTCCCCTTCGATACGCTTCCCTGCGCCGCCCTTACTTGCTGAACAGAATGCGCACTACGGTATAGACAGTCAGGATAACGCAGAGGATTATGCAGAAGAGCATGAATATGTCAAAGAGCTCGTTGATCTGTATGGTGAGTTTGGTCGTGCCGCTGGAGATGATGAAATCTTTGTTTTGAACCACGTGGTAGGTACGCTGGATGAAGTGGCTGTTCTCGATGAAGGAGATCAGCAGTGAGTTCTCAAAATGGGTGAAATGCTTAAAGTAGGAGCAAGCGACGATGTTCTCCTCTACATTTGTGACGTTCTTCAAGTATTTGTAGAGTAACTTCCTCTCATATGTCGTCTCCACCATGTAGCAGTTAATGTGTCCAAGATACTCCTCACTAGTGTTTTTAACAGAGTCCATAATCTTCCTATTGTAGTTTCCTTCCTTATCCTTATACAATTTCCAAAGCTTCGTCTTTGTGCTGATAAAAACGGTACCTATATCATCACTCTGGACAGTCGAGAGATACACCTTTGGTTCAATGTCCGAAGCGATGTGTTCATATGGAATGAAGGATATTTGTTTGCAGTTGACTTGGTATGAATTGAGTCCACACCGGAACAGATGGACTAGCTGTTTTGCTTTGTCAAACGATATGTAGTAGAACCCAACTTCGTTCTCCTCATCTTGAAACAGAATCAAATCCAGCATGTTCTTAACTCGGAAATAAACATAGGTGGTAAAGTCTCTCAAAATAGACACATAGTCCTTCCCATGGTAGTACATAGCTATATACCTCCCCAGTGACGATATATTTTTCACCTGAACTTTTTTAATCGCTTTGATGGAACTATCCTTAAACAGAGACATTTCGTATACATAATTATCATTCTTATACAAGTTGTTAAATTCGCCCTCATTAAAAAAAACCTTGTGACATTTCTGGAAACACTGTTGAGTGAGATCTTTGTTTGAGTGCTTCCACAATATGTTGTTGTCTCCTAAGTGGTCCTTATACTGGGGCGTGGTGTTGTAAAGGAAGCTATTGTTCTGCGTCACCTGTTCGTCTGTATAAGTCATATACTGATCCTCCAGCTCCTTCTTCCCCTTCTTCTTCAGCAGTTTCTGCATATGGTACTTAAAATTGCATGCTATGGTTTTATTGTATATATAGTAGGCTATATTTATTCTGTCAAATTCTAATTTCACTAGTGTGTTGAAATAGCTAGCGATTTTCTTCAATTGGAGATTATTGTCTTTGCTCAGGTAAGTCATGCTTAACTCGAACTGCTTTTTGTACTGCTCGTTTTTGAGGAAGACCGCCTTCAGCTCGTTGTTGTTTCCTCTGGAGGGGTAGCAGAGGAGTTTCTGCGGCATGAACGTGGAGCTGCCACGGCTAGAAGCGGCACCGTCAGCACCTCCACCGGTATTACCGGTATCACCGCTACCCCCGCCAACGCTGCATATCGCGGCGCGCATCACAAAATCGTCGTCGTAATCATCGTAGTCGTCATTATCATTAAAAGCGCGGTCGTAGCCAACGTGTCCGCCATCATCAAACCGCTCATCCCCCGCGTCTTCCTCAAAATCGTCGTCGTCAAAACCATAGTTACTAAACTTTTTTATATAAAAAGGATCATTCTTCACATACAATTCATTCTTCCTGTCCATATACTTTATCCCAGACTCACTATAAAACAGATCATTTATTTTGCAAATGATACCCTTCTTGTTCTTCTTCAACAAAATTAACTCTCCATCATTGTATCCAAAAACGAACTGTATATTCGTCGGAATTCGATACTTAAAATAGTTTATCACTTTGGTAAAGCTTTTGTAAAAGTAGATTTTGTCTCCAATTTCTAATTCGCCTATCTCTGAGGTATTCACATAGTAGCTGTCGTCATTTTCGTTAAGGAAGATATACTGGAAATTGTTTAGTTCGCTTTTAAATTCGCCTGCATTTGTGTACGTTACGATGACTTGCTTGGCTTTCACGTCCCCTGCGACGAACACCGCGCGCTCTAGCAGGCACAGCGCCGTCAACACATTGCACAGCTTCCGCACGACTGTCATTCGAAAGGGAAGACGGAAGCCAGAGCTGGCACGAAAGAAAGGGGCCACAAACCAGATGAAGAATTTGTCCCTAGGTGGGCTTCACCAAAAAAAAAAGGGGAAAGAAGCGCCTTTAACGGATTTTTCAAACCCCGCCTTACAAATATGCACCCTCGGACGAGGTGATGGTGGGGTCTTCTCCCTTTCACAGCCACTCACCCCAGTCTTGTGCCGCTCCAGTGTTTGTACCACACCAATGAGTCCCAACTGGCTATTATTTTCCTATTTTTCAGTCACCACCCTGCGCGCTCACTCATTTGCTAACTTCCGCAATGAGGGCAAAATAAAAAAAAAAAGGGGGAAGTATCACCTGACGAGAGGAACGCCCCAATGTGTAGTGTACTTGCGCTTGTGCATAAACTGCCCTGCCGTTCCAGCGCAAAGAAAAGTGGGAAGGGGATGTAACCAACTTGCGGAAAGTAAAATGTGCATTCAAAATGTGCGCTCAAAATGTGCACTCAGAATGGGCACGCAATATATGGACTCAAAATGAGCACTCAATATGTGCACTTTCAAAGTACCCTCACGAAGTGCATCCAACACATGTGCTGCCAGTTCGCGCTACCAGTCCGCGCTGTCAGTTGTGAGAACAAAGTGAAAGACGCATGTCCAACTGGTAGCCAAAATCTGTATACCCCGCGAGTGCAATTTTTCGTTGAACTTGTTTCGTTCCGCCTCAGCTCAAAGTCGAGAAAAAAAATCGCCTCCGAGTAAAACTCTCCTCTGAAAGGAGCTCGCGCCTCGTCTCGTCGCCTCTCCTCACATCCGTACACACATGTTGTGCATTCCCGGATAGCTGCACGTGTTCTCCCCTTTGCAACCTTTTAAAAAAACCTATCTGTGCAGTAATATCTTACCCCTTCGTTATGCAAAATGCGAGACGCTCACACGGAGCGTGCCTTTCGCCATGCACAGAATTGGAACCGACTTGCTTATCCCCATAAGCAGACTATTTTTTTTTTTTTCTTCTTACCATTTCAGCAACTGTCTTGGAATAAATATTTATTAATGGGAAAAAATAAAAATTATAAAATGATTGCATGGTTTGCCCCATTTTACATTCAGCAGTTGTTGCGCACTGACACTTTTTTCTTTTATCTCATCTCATTTTCAGATACGAGGCAAAAAAAAAAAAAAAAAATAAAAAAACGAAAAACAAAAATTTTTTAAATTAAGAAAATGTGTCTGTGTCATTTGTAACATGGAAATAAAAATTGTTAAAACATACGTAGCACATTTTCTCGGAGGATAACTTTTCATTCCTTTTTTAAAAAGATTTGGTTCGTACATTTGGTCTACTACAATTATATCGTAATTTTTTCTTTTTTTTTTTCTCTTTTTTGCGTAAAAACTGCTTTCCATTCATGCATGTGCCGAAATTGTTTACTCATCGTGTAGGCAACTCGACAATGCATAGTTGCAGGTTTGAAAAAGGGCGTATTTCTTATACAAGTGTGTATGCGTGTTCGGGGGGATGAAATTGTTCAACCTTTCATTCCTCCACTAGCACTAACGCTGCAACGCCTTTGTCTGCCGTTCGCAGCGCAGCTAACTGTTCTTAGCAAAAAAAGAGGAGGCGTATAACATTTGTGAACCCTAAGGCGACCGCCTAGTTATTCTGTGCCTTCAGCTTGTTCCTTCTCTCCTCAATGATGTCCAACTTGATTCCCTTCTCACGGGGTAAACTGATATAAGGCTTCGAATTATCCCCAATGACAAACACGTTGCTCAGACGAGTGGCAAATATTTTCCCCCTGGAATCCTTCACGTGAATAATATCATACGTTCCTATGTTCTTATCAATGGAGGAAATGATACCAACTCTTCCAACACTGTGTCCAGCTGTTACCATAACCATACTGCCGATTTGAAATTTTAAATGTTCCAGTACTTTCCCGGTTTCTAAGTCTAATCGAACCGTATCGTTCACCTTAACGTCTGGGTGGATGTAAGGAATGCTTCTACCATCATGGGTAACGGCAATGGATACTCGTCCTTTTCTCAAAATCATCTTTTTCACCTTGCACAATTTATATTTGCTCTCCTCATTGGTAATTCGATGGGGGACAAATCTTCCTTTAATGTCGTACAGGAGTCTAAAATATTCGTTCGACTTGGTTATATGAATAACGTCCATAAGACCAACAGGGAATGTGCAATCGGTTCTTATCTTGTTGTCCACTTTTACAATTTTCTGGATTAATATCATTTTCACTTCGTCAAACGTTAAGGCATACTTCAGTCGGTTTCGTAACAGAATTACCAGGGGGATACTTTCGATGAGCCTGTGGGGACCGCTACTCGTTTTGGGCGCATACTGGCCGCCCATTTTGTTCAACATCCAATGTGAGGGCGCATTGACTCTCTTCATGTGCTTCTTTATTCCTTTACCCTGCGGGGGGGGGAGGGCAAACGCGGGAAAGGCGAGGTAAATGTTTTAGTGACGCGGAAACCGTGGCCCAAACGGGGGTCGAAATCGTGGCCAGAAAAATATGAAGGGTTCATATTTTTACATTCGCACATAAAGGAAAAAAAAAAAAAGCTATCTGTATAGGAAACTCTTAAAAAAGTATGAACATCGATAAAAAAAAAAAAAGTTGCACACATTTTTGGAAAAAGCAGAACAGAACAGTTATGTAAGCGGCTTCCGCGTTGATAAACTTATGGGAGCCAAAAATGTGCGGCACCACCCTTCATAAAATTACACAGCACGATTGCAACATTTCCACATGTAGATCGAACAAGGGCATGTTTTACCGCAAGTCACCTCTAAGCCAAATCGAAAAATATGACACAGAAGCAAAATATAGCGTAATAGCAGCAAATTTAGCCCATCTGGCCCGTTTAGCCCTTTCGCGACCGTTTAACCGGGGTGAAAAAGGATTCGCAGAATATGTACTCACATTAGCATACACATGGATAGATATGCAAAAAGGTACACTCAAGTATGCAGTTTGAAGGGCATCTGCCCGCAGGGGCAAATACCCGTGGTACATGTAAACGCCGCAGGGGTAAGCAACCCTACGAATTTTCCCATCCTTTTCTTTGTACGTACCATTTTGCCTATCGAGTTTCAAAATTGGTTGGTTGATTTTCTCCTTAGAAGGATTAAGAATATCTGAGGGGGGGGGGCTCCTATGCCTTATATTTGTAGGGTAAAAAATACCAAGTGCTAATTTTGGGTAAATGTAAATTTATATATGTTGTTCACGCAAAAGGGTTGAAACGAAAGAACTGTAACATTTAATTATTTCAACGCGTGCGTATTTGTTTCTGACAAGGCTTTATTTTTTTATCATTAAATGCATAAGCAAATGGTGAACTGTTTTTTGTTTTTGTTTCTTTTTTTTTGTCAATTTTAGAAGGTTAGGATACTTTACAAAAAAAAAGGAATTGGTATGCTTTTTACTCTTAAGGGTATTTTTATTTAAACTGCGGCTGAGGCTGAGAGCGTTTTTTTTTTTTTTCAACTTCGACAAAAATCTCCGCCACGGATGTGGCATAAAATATATGTACAATATGTTCTGCAACGTAGTACGCAATGTGGCCTTTCTGTTTTTTTCATTTTTTCCTATTTACCATATATAGGGACTGTGGGTCATCCCACGGTTGGTTATCCACCATACGCCACCTCTTTTTGTTTTTGCTTCTTTCTTTAAATTCACCTTTGCAACGCTCCTTTGCGAATTTAGAAGCAGATATTATATCCTTGAATATCACATTACCGCAGGGTTCCGGAAAAAAAAATACGCTCCTCACGGGGATGCGACACCCCATACATACACTTAAATCACTTCCGGTGCTGTTCGAAGGGGGGCCTAACGTGTTGCACCATATACGTATGTAACCTAAACCTTTACGCGCTTTGGCAAAGTGAAGCCTATAATAAACTCACAAATTAAATGAAATAGGCGCTCAGTGCGCCTGATTCCTTTCATTGAGGAATCCATTTTGTGTTCTTTGCGAAACACACAAAATGGGGAAGGCACTGAGGCGATGCCTTAAAGCCGAAGTGCCATCCAAAAAAAAGTGCTACATTTAAGAGGCGAAACGAACCCATCAACGTATCAACGGATCAGCCCTTTTTACCTCGCCTCTTGCGAAGGGTAAGTCCGCTCGCGGGGGAAAAAATGGGAAGAAAAAAAAAAATGAAGAAAAAATATATATATATTTATTTATCTGAATATATAAGATGAGTATCTTCTACCCTTTGTCAATACTTTACTGCCAACGATTCTTCACCATTTTGGCGTATTTTTCCGACAAGAACAAACGAACCATTAATTTTGCGCTTGTAAAAAGGTTAACAGAAATGTAGCGCTAATGTTGATCTTTGAAATACGAACTATACACTTCCCAAACGGGGGGAATATCATCTCCGATTTCTCACCTCACCTCTTCTCAACCGTCACAGAGGAAATTCTCTTCTGTTGTATCAACGTGTCCATGTTGAGCCGTGCTACACCTACACCCTATCAAATAGGGAGACCTCACAGGAGGAATGTGTAAAGTTGTTCCAGTCTTCCCGCTTCAACGGATTAGCGGCACGACGGGAAAAATAACACTAGGAAAAGAGGAAACACGCAAACAATGACATCTTGTTGACACACGCAAAATGATCGATAATGTCACACATGTATCGTCGAATTAAAAAAATATCGGGCACATTTTTAAGTAAAGATGTTCCTCTTAATATTTGGCAAGGTGAATTAATTTTATTTATTCATTTTTTTTTTTCCCTGTGTGACTCAGTTGTGCGAATAATTTCTTTTTTTTTTTTTCCTTCACCGCGCTGTAAATTTTCAAAATATTTGACAGGAGAAAGTTTCTTTCGCTGGGTTAATTTCTCTAAACAGTAAAAGTTACCATCTCCATGTATGTACATTTGGCACATGCGTCGCAATTGCTGCTTCATCCCTGTGTGTGTTAAAGTAGAGGAAAATAAGGCACACAGTTATCTCCCCGAGTGAACTTCCTCCTTTGAGCACTTTGCCTTTATCTTTCCCCCTCCATTTTGATAAATCATCGTTTAAATTTTTTGGGGGTATTCACGTGGGTGGATGTGCCGCTACGCGTAAACGATCACGCGCGTTAGTACCCGATTCATCAGTGCCGAATTGGTGACTACGCATTATTTGCTGTCAGCAGGGGTAGCGGGGGCCTGCGACAAAAAAAGGTAACCTCTTGGAGAACACCGCTGTCCGACAAAATGATGCTGGAGAACTCCAAGGAAATGCCAATAAATGAGGACGTCGAAAAAGAGATATACGAATGTTTCTCCCTGTTCGATACAAACAAATGCGGCTACATCGACATCCGTGAATTTTACTTCGCCCTTAAGTCGCTTGGCCTCAATTTCAAAAAAGAGGAAGTGAAGAATCTCTTCCTCCAAGTGAAGAAAAACATCGACGATAAATTAAATTTCGATGAATTTTTCGAAATCGCAACGAAACATATTCATAAGAGATACACTGAGGAGGAAATGGACCACATGTTTGCTCTGTTCGATCCGAATGACACAGGTTAGTCTTTTTTTTTTTTTTTTTTTTTTTTTTTCTCTCTTCCCTACTGATGCGTGTAGGTGGTGCCTCACCGGGGCGTGTGCAGAAATGGTAAAGAAAATGGAACTACTTTTAACCTTTGCAGGAAAAATAACGCTAACTTCTTTGCGAAACGTTTGTGCCGAAATAGGTAAGGAAATGAGCATCCCACCTGGCGACATTCGTTTGGACCACCGCCCATGGACGCGCTGACGGGGATGTTCCTCTCGCGTTGGTTTGCAACTGCTCGCGTGGCACACCTATTCTTTTAACACACATGTGCACATCCACGTACGCGGCTTCCCCTTTCCCATCCAAGGGGAACACATCGACGACGCGGAACTAAACCACATGATCGAGTTTGCCGACAGAAACAACGACAAGGTTATCGACAAGGAGGAATTCAAGAGAGTCCTTCTAAGGGCATGGAAAAACGACCCGCTAAGTGACGTAGACTCGGATTAGTATCCCACACACGAGTTCAAAGTGATGATGCAGCTAGCCAAGCTGCGAAACGGTTAGAAAAAAAAAAAAAAAAAAAAAAAAAAAAATCAAATAAATTTAGTTTAGTTTTAAGTGGCGTGCTCGTCGGAATGCTCCACAGTTGCTAATATGCTAAGATTTAATTTCACTTTTCTTTTGTTCTGTTTCGTTTAACTCCTTTTAACATTTAAAGATTAAATAAGAAGAAGAAGAAAGAAAAAATGCCGCACGAATGGGCAGCAAACATGGCTACATGATGGACAGCATAATTCAAAATGTCACAAAGGGAGGCACAGAAACGAAACGTTAAAAAAAAAAATCTAATATAATATAATCGGATCGAATGGAATTGCATCGCATTACATCACAACGCGTGAGAAAGAGTTAATTATCATTTATGGTACATTTTGTACGGTAGACACATTGAGCTTTAAGAAAAAGAAAAGAAAAAAAACTAGCATACGAATGAAGGGGGTAAAAATCAGGGAAAGACGAGTACAACAATTCGGGGGTATGCACAAACAGAAACATGAGAAGGGTACATTATCAGTACGTGAGCAGGACATAAGCACATGCGTGTGTCCATATACTTATGCATATGCACTGCTGTTCATACAAAGGTGGTTAAATAGGGGGAGGGGAAAGGGGGAACCATGACCCGTTTGGGCCTCCGCTCGCGCCTCCATTCGCGCTTTCACCCCAATGCGCAATCACCACGCCGGGCAGTCACCACGCCGCTCCGTCACTCATCCAGGTAGTAAGTGAACTTGGAGCTGTTTTCTATGTTGAAGACGATGCTGTCCACAGCGAAGGATTGGTAGTACTTCTCCTTCTGTATGGACGTGTAAAAGTGGATGCTGGAACCACTGTCCTGGCCGTACGAATCATTATTAGACACGAAGATGATCGTGTAGAACGTGGTGAGGAAAATGTAGCCGTCCTCCGTGGTGTGCAAATCGTCCTCCTTGAGATTTTGGAATTTGGCGAACAGCTTCGACTGAGGATACTTGCGCAAGAAGTTATCAAGGACGTTCTTCTTAGCAAAAAAATAATTCACAGAGGTTGTTATTGGACCAATCCGCTGCTTTGGATCATCCAAGTTGAGCCATTCTTCAAATACCCACGTCTCATTCTGCTTTGTCAGTTTATAAATATGTGTCTTATTATTCGTCACGTAGATATAGCTGTGTCTGTTACCGCTACTCTCCTCAAACGTTATAAATGATATGTGTTGGAAGTACTCATTGGACTCGTTCTTTTTTCTGTACACATTGTAGCACTCATAGGACTCCTCCTCTTTCTTAATAACACACCTATTCACGTAATTCTGCGCATCATCATTTCCTGTAATGTATACAATGACGTTATTCTCCGTACTGTTGTAGATATCTATGGATAATCCGAAAGGCTTTGGAAGGTTTATAATCAGGTTCGTTTTTTCCACATGCACGTAGACGGTGTTATTGAGGGGGTAAGTCAAGACGTGGACATCCATATGAGATTTATAATCGAATGCGATAAAATCTTTGAGCCCATCAAAGAGGAAGTTGGCCGCGTAATGTTCATTGTATTCGTCTGATTTGTTGAGGACACTAACGTAGTTATTCACTGCATCGTAGTAACACATGTCCTTAAAGAGCTTTTCCTTTCCCGAGCAACTACTTACCGAAGTAACATGGGGAGCGAATGCGTACTGGTTTGTAACACTGACAAATGGCATTTTAACCTCCTTCGCGGTGCCTTCTTTTACATTCCTCAAATCGATTATTCCTTTGTTAACAGTACAGTTGTAGTTATTCGTCCACAAGATTGTTAGCCTATACTTGGCGTCCTCTTCTCTTCGTTTCTTCTCCGCCTTCTCCGCTTCACTATCAGTGGTAGCATAACACATAGTGGCACTATCCAAATTTAAGAATTTCGCTTTCTTATAGTTAATTTCCTTTGCGAGAGTCCCCTTTTCGTATTCATCTTCCTCACTTACCAGATGAGCATCATAAATGGTGAAATATAGGGAATTTAAATCTTTGCTATAAAGGTCCAAAACAGTGTAGAGATCAACCGAATCGTCCTTCTTTATGCTCATAAGGTAAAGTTTCCCTTCTGATGACGGTTTATCATTCGTCACATGTTTTACATTCACAATGAGGTAATCCTTCGTGCTGTTTGTATCTTCCTGATCAGGCATCACATTAACACTCAGACCGATTATCTTGTCTCCATTCGAAAAGGTATGCAACTTCTTAGCTTGTACAGAGTTCTTATCCCTGTTTAGTGTCAATCTGAAGATATTCTCTGCGTTCTCTGTGATGAACAGACGATCATCCACGACGGCTAATCCGTTCAGCACTCTTATATGCTTCCCATTAACTGTGTCGATTACGTTAATAAGCTCTATGGAATCATTCTGCTCGTTGTACTTCATATGGAGGATATAATAGTTCTGCTTAATTGCACAGATGACGAAGAAGTGATTCTCCAGTGAGTCAGCAATAACACCTGTGAAGAACATTTCTTTATTTTTCATTATGTTGCCATGTTTATGTGCGATCACATTTAAGGGGGATATGTTCTTCTTCTTCAAATCGATTTTGTAAATGTCTACATCGGTCACCATTAGCATGAACCCATTATTTGCAGCTATGCCAACTATGTAGAACCTGTCCGGAAAATTTAACGCCATGATATTCACATTGTTTTTGTATAGATGTATCGAATTCTTGAATTCATGTTTGACAAAATAAATTGGTTTTTTCTTCCTTTCTACATTGTAGTCCACTGCACTATGGGGGATACAATGCACTGGGAAATTTATCACCTTATTTACTTCTAAATTAAATGTTTTTTCATTTGGGACCACTCTTACGTTCACTAAACTGTTCATCTGATTTGTTAGCACTAACTCTCCTGTGTGTTTGATGCTATACTGGTTTGTGCTCATCGATAGGGGTACCACCAACCCCAGAAGAAGTAAAAGGAACAGCACGGTCATCTTGCGCGGGGTATGGGGGGATCTCCAAAAATTGGGATTCACTTTTTAAGAAGTTTTCTTCTCCGCAGAAGCGTCTGCTATATGTAGAGGAAAGCAGAACCTCACGCGGTACAGAAGTTGTATATATGTATATATCTATATATGTATGTACCTATTTATCGCGATCCCCCTGGGAAACGCATCCAAATGGGCGATCAAGCAAGGGAGCGGCAGAGCGGCCAGACAAACTAGGGCTCACTTAGGCGGGGGAAGCGGTTAAAGCGGTAAACGCGATAAACGCGGTAAGAATTCGTGCGAAGTCCCCCCGACAGCCACAACAGCCGTGAAGATGCACACATCGATGGGCGGCGAGATTATGTCACTCCGCCGAAGAATCGCCCAGCTAAGGAGAAAAGAGAATATCGCAAGGAGGTATATGTACAGCCCCAACGCGCAGAAATCCCTCCATGGGGACATCAAAATTAAAAGGAAACGGACTCCTACGCAGAAAAAAGGGAAAAAAAAAATTCTGTCCCTCTTCGACACTGATGCAGGGGGAGAGGAGTCTCTCTCTCACCTTGGGTTGGCCCCTCTCTACATATAAAAAAAAAAAAAAAAAAAAGAAAGGAAAGAAAAAAAAAAAAAAAAAAAACCACAAAAGAGATCTTCCCTTTTGATGTAGAAGTTATACGCACGTATAGAAGAAGAGAAAAAAAAAAACGGGAAGGCCTTCCTTCGCTCTGTTCGACGGAGAGCCGTGCGCCCATAATAAATAAAAAAAAAAAAGGAAAAAAAAAATATAAACGTACAAATGAACAAATATATACATATATATATATATTATGTACATTTAAATATACTACGTACGTGCGGCGCAATTCTGCTACTTCTAATCCTAATCAGCCTGCTTGTACACGCAAATGGTACTGCTCACATAGGATATCTTATTCCCTACAGAGCCAAGTGCAACATATGGGGGGAGTGTTAGAAGCACCAACCGCATGCGTACTTGTGTGGATGCTGGGGTGAGGCAAACAATTCGTCACAATTTTTTTTTTAAGAGAGGAGAGGGCTTGGGTCAGCGAAATATTGCGTGAACGAACTTTATGGAAACCCTTTACGGGCCACAGAAAAAAGAAAAAAAAAAAGATATGTACTGCTCTAGTGTTTATAATATTTTATGTTTTATCCTGTGCCTCATTTCAGTTCACAAAACGCACATGATGTGCCGTTCCACCGTTAGGTCAGAACGACCTGTGTGCGGGAGAGTCTTCTTCCTTAGAACATCGCAAATCCTTTAGAGGCAACAACGCGCCGTGATCTGCTGCGTGCCTCCGTATGGAGATTACTTTCACCGCGTTGGCGTAGAAGCTGGGGGTTTTCAAATAGGAGCGGCAGTTAGGGAAGGAAGAGGCCGGTTTCTTTCTTCTTCCCGCGCGAGGAAAGAAGAAAAAAAAAATTTATGTGCAGTCGGCTTGTTCACATAAGGACGTATTATATAGTACGTGTAATTACGCCAACATGTGTGATCATTTGCGCACACCTGAAAACAAAATTGGCAAAAAAAAAAAAACTTCGCAGCGGAAGCAGTGATCGACCGACTCTCTGGTCACCCCAAATCGAAGCAATGAGTCGAGGGTGGAATTCACTTATTCGCGTTGTATTTTTGTTGTGCGTAGGTTTATGCGGAATGCTGCCTTCTTCGACCCTTTCACGTTTATGCTGTGGAGACTTCGCCGTTATTTTATGTCATTTCTGTGTTCCCTTTTTTGCTCCCTCTTTTTCTCCCTCTTTTGCTCCCTTTTTTTACCCCGTCGATTTGTACGCACAAAGTGCCAGTCTTCGCTGCCATGTCGTCCGTTCGCAAAAGGGGCCGTTCGTTAATTCACCACGCGGACCGTGCCCACAATCGGCCCGCACAACTTTCCCATTGCTCTGCAAAAATGGAAGAGGACGACCAGGTTAAGAAGCCATGAATGGGTGAAAGGGGTGGCGATTTTTCTGCGTCCCCAATTGACGTTAAAAATTGTTCCCCCCCCTTTTGGCAAGTCAAAGGTTTGATTACAAGGAAAAGTCTGCAGGTGTATATATCACCCAGGGGGAAAAACGGACTGGGGTGAAATTGGTTGGAGAAATTGGTTGCCACAGTGGTAGGCGAAACTCCCTTATGAACGGGGGGCGCGGAAAGGACGTAGCGGTAGAAGCAGCTGTTCAATGCTGGGGAGGAGGGTCCCATTAAAATGCCCCTTTAGCGAAAAATCCGCGTGGAAGTAACGCCGTATCAACATCCCTCGTCGACTTGCCCAATGCCACTCGCTTCAAATGGTGTCACATTGAAAAACACATCCAGTTGTGCTCCCCCTCTCGTAAGATTAACGTCTAACGTGGGGTGGAGAATGCACCTTCTTCTTTCTTCCCTTCTCTCCGCCGCAGTGCTCCCAACCCAGTTCATGTAATTTCCCTTTTAATTCCTTTCCCAACACATATACCCAGTTGTGCGTTCGAAGTGAGCCATTTCTCTTTAACCATGCTGGTTAATCACAAAGCGTGGTTTTCATAACGGCGAAAAAACTTCGCAACAGGAGATTGACAAGCAGGTTGATATAAAATTTTGTTGAAAATGAAAACAGCCACGTCGGTGCTCCGTGTATCGGCGTAGTGGAAGGGGAAAGGCAAAGTTGTAAAGTGTGGTTACCCATTCATCGCTTCGATTAAGGAGCACACAACGAGCTGTGCTTATCCATTCGGATGCCACGGGGCAGCAATAATCTGGGGAATATCCTTCTTTACCCACCGCTCTACACTTCACAAAGACTGCATACTAGTATAGAAATAAATGATTTGCACATGGGGAGATAGGGGTCATACCATGAGTTGGGCCGAACATAGGTGGTGGACTGAATGACAGCCTGGACCATCGTTCCATGAAATCGCTTTACACCCCATGGGATGGGCGAACACGTGCGCCCCGTCCTTTGCACCATCTCCTTAAAATGTGTGTCGCCGCGGAATACACATAACAAACTACTCGCAGGTACGTACACAAAATGCGACGTAGGAATATCCACCCCGGGGGTGCAGGACAGTCAAGGCATCCAACCGATCAACGCCACGTCGAAAAATGTGGTCACCTTTTTTCATTGACTTCTCCCTCGGATCCTAAATTATCAAGCAGATTTGCTCCCTTCTTTTCTTCACTAAATCATTGGCGCAGCGGGAAAAAAAAAAAAAAAAAAAAAAAAAAAAAAAAAAAAAAAAAAAAAATAAACAAAACAATAGCATTAGCAGTACCAATTGCAATAATAATGTTAAGTGGTGCCCGCCCGTGGCTTCTACTTCCCCCGGTTGAAACACCATTGAGCTGCTAACCCCGCCTCCAATCGAGCAGCAGCTTTCTAAACACAACTGCGTCACAGGAGGATTGAAGCTCCCAGCCTACGCGGAAAGGAGCTTCCACGTCCAACGGAGCTTCATATGGATGAAGCGGCACATTCGCTTCTACGTAGATTCTGTAGAGGGCCTACTTCCGTAGATGTTGCCTACCGAATGGGCCATCAGACGCGGTGATCAGCCTGAGGAAATGGCCAACCAACTAGTCAGTGATTCCCCCGTGAATGTCGCACAACAGGTTGTTACCCCCTCAGTCCGTCTCACCGATCCACCCCGACACCTGTGCTAGTCTCACCGATCCACCCCGACACCTGTGCTAGTCTCACCGATCCACCCCGACACCTGTGCTAGTCTCACCAAAGTGAGGAAAAAGCAAAAAAAGCGCAAGTCCATCCTGTACGCATTTGCACCCACGGGAAATCATATAACAGTTTGGAAGAAAAAAAAATAATAAATAAATCAGTAGGAAACCCCCAAATGAACCATGCATGGGAGGACTACTCCTGCTCCCTCGGCTTTCTCAGCACACCCGGCCGTTCTCACAAAAGGGAAGAACAGCTACACTTGGGGTTGACACGTCCCTACGCTGCGGTAAGCATACAACACTTCTCTACTCTGCGGTAAACGCACCGCTCACAGGTACGCCAGCCCGAGGATGAAGCACGGCAGCCGAAGCGAAGCCACCCGCGGAGACATCCGCAGCTACATTCACAAGGCGGGGGAAAAGAATCTGTACCGAATAAAAAAGGGGCTGGTCCCAAACATGAACGTAGAGGGACACATGTACGTGAATGATAAGTTGAAGCACCTCATAGACGATGAAATAGAGACGTACCAGCTGAACAGCAACTCAACATTCCTCCCAGCAGTTATTCAGATAGCAAATGTATCGACCCTGCCAGGCATCGTAAAGGCATCCATAGCCTTACCAGATGTACACGCAGGGTACGGATTCTCCATAGGAAACGTGGCAGCATTCGACATGAGCAATGAGAAGGCGATTATCTCCCCTGGAGGAGTAGGATTTGACATAAACTGTGGAGTGAGGTTAATTAGAACAAACCTGTTTTATGAAGACATAAAGGATAAGCAAGAGCAATTAACGCAGCTCCTTTTTAATAACATTCCAGTGGGGGTAGGATCACAAGGATGTATATTATGTAATCAAGACAAACTCGATGAAGCTCTCTGCTTAGGAATGGACTGGTGTATCAAAGAAGGATACGCATGGGTAGAGGATAAGTCAAACTGTGAAGATAATGGAAGGAGCTTATATGCTGATAGTAACTACGTATCTGTGAGAGCTAAAAAACGAGGGATAACACAGATGGGGACGTTAGGAGCTGGCAACCACTACGCTGAGATTCAAATTGTCGATGAAATATACGACAAGAGGAGTGCCAAACTGATGGGGATCGAAAAAAAGAACCAAGTCTGTATAATGATTCACTCAGGAAGTAGAGGGCTGGGTCATCAAATTGCTACGGATGCTCTAATCGAGATGGAGAAAAGCATGACAAAGTATAAACTAGATGTAATCGATAAACAGTTAGCTTGTACTCCTATCCACTCCAAGGAAGGAAAGAATTATCTCAAAGCTATGGGTTCGGCTTGTAATTTTGCCTGGATTAATAGATCTTCCATGACATTCTTAGCTAGACAGACTTTCGCAAAAATCTTTGATCAATCACCAGACGACTTAGACATGCATGTGATATATGACGTGTCACATAACATTGCCAAAATTGAGGATCATCTCGTCGATGGAAAGAGAAAAAAATTGTTAGTTCACAGAAAAGGGTCAACGAGGGCCTTTCCTCCGTTCCACCCGGCAGTCCCTTTAGATTACCAATACTGTGGACAACCCATTCTCATTGGAGGAACCATGGGTACCTACTCCTACGTCCTTACTGGTACGGACAAAGCTATGGAGACCACTTTCGGGTCTACTTGTCACGGGGCTGGACGCGCACTAAGTCGAAACAAAAGCAGAAACACACTAAACTATGTCGACGTTCTGCAAAAAATGAAAGACGAAAATATCTCCATCCGAGTCGCCTCCCCAAAGTTAATTATGGAGGAGGCCCCCGAGTCGTACAAGAACGTCTCCGAGGTGGTCAATACGTGCCATGACGCGGGGATATCCGCCAAGTGCTTTCGCCTCAAGCCGGTGGCAGTGATAAAGGGGTGATCAGGCGGTCATAAAGGGGTAACCACGCCATGGTAAGGGGGTAACCACGCCATGGTAAGGGGGTAACCACGCCATAGTAAGCAGGTTGACCCGTTTTGCCGCATTTACCGCCTTCTCCGTTGTGTGCCTACGTGGGGGTAGACACACCCTGGGGGTGCAGCTCAGCTGAACTCCACCAAGGGACTAAAAACTGACTTTGCTCCACCAGGATTGGTTCTTTCCCCCGTCCGTTGCTTTCAATTCGCTTCATTCCGTCCCATTTCTCTCTTTTTTTTTTTTTTTTAACTTCCCCTTTTTAATTCTTCGACTTTTTCAACACATTCGGCGGTGCAACGGTTAGGTGAATCGTTAAGCGCCCTTTTGGCCACCAGTAGCACGTCCCTTTTTATGGCGAGCATTTTTTTTTTCTTTTTCTAAATCTGCTTCCGCTACGTGGGAGACGCGAACCGATGTCCACACCTACACGATCCTACGTTCGCTTCTTCAATTTGTCGAATCTCATTTTTGTCGGCGCCATCAAGGTTGCGTTTAAGCAGCCTACGCCGCACTAACATTACCCCATTGGTAGCTCCCTCAGGACGGGAAAAAAACGACACGGGTATAGACTTCCGTCCGCCACGGCGTACCGTCGCAACAGATGCTAAACAGAGTAGGCGATATCTGTTCGCTACAGAAGAGGTAACACACGGGGTGCGCGCCAAATCGGCGTTGCTCGTCACCGCGTGGCAGTGTAGCCACTGCGAAACGATGCTGCTTCCCCATTGAGTCATTCCCCTTTAAATACCTTGTGGCACACATTAACGACATCCACAGGTTAACCTCTTCCCATTTGGTCCAGCCTAGAGCAGCTCCCACATCAACACCTGTCTGCCTCCTACGGGGGATTATTATAACCTAAATATACTCAACTATCGAGTGACACATCCACTCGCGGTGTGTCGGTTCCTTGCACCTGGTCCGTTTCTCACCCTACAGGATATTTTTTCCACTTACGGATATTTTATTTTTTTTTTTCTTTCCCACGATAACTGCGGATAAATAAGGCTATAAAAGGGTCAAACTTGATGCGTTTTCTTTTTTTTTCTTTTTTTTCCCTTGCAAGTTGCGCATCCAACCGGTTGTCATAGTCCATCTTTCTTATTCGTCACCCCTGGGGTATCATCATCCAGCCACCATGCAGCTTCGTCGTTTCGCCGTTTCAGCGCATCACAACTTAAACGAGTTTTTACACTGTGGCAACGGGATGGAGGAGCACTTTTTTTTTTTAATTTCCGGGAGTGAAAAAGAGGAAACTCAAAAGGATCGAGCTGCAAACCTTTTGTGCGTGTATATTCGTGCCGCTTGAAACTGCACAGCCTGTTCCTTCTATGTTTTTTTTTTCTTTCTTTTTTTTTTTTCCTTTTCTATATGCATATTTTTCCAACCAGTCCAGGGTGCTACCAGTCGCTTATTCAGGAGCGGAATTTTTTTCACATGTACATACGTATTGTTTTACTGCCTAGTAATGAAGTGAGCACTGAGGGATTGCTTTTCCTTCACTTGGGCCACTTCTCCTCCGCCTCAACAGTGCTTTTTTCCAATCCTCAGAAAACTGTGCTTACCCCCTCTTCACAAGCGAGCTGACTGGCCGCCCCCCGACCGTCCCCGGCGTGCTTTCTTCTCCATATCTTATATAGTGGAGAAAAAAAAAACACGTACATACAATACGTACCTACGCACGAATACATAAACGCACAAACATACTTATTTGACGCATCTGAATGACAAAATAAAGTGAACAAAATAGGTAAAGCCTAAATTGTAAATTCATAAAGATACTTTCGAGCCCCTCGTGTGCCATCACAATCGTCAGGGCAGTAACTACTTTCGTATTATGTACAGTTTATCCAGTTACGCACTAAAGTGTCACGCTTCGCGTTCACGTGTGGTGAATTTGTATTCCCCTTCGTTTGTGTTTTTCCCCTCACTTGTGCGCAAATAACGGAAAAACAGTGCTGGATAAAAGAAAAAAAAAAAAGAAAAGGAGAAAAAGGGAAAAAAAGGAAAAAAAAAGCAGACTCTACCATTTTCCCAGAATGCTGCAAATGCCTAAGCTCCACGCATAAGCAACCTCAAGCATACACAGGGAGCAACTCGGCGCACGAACGACAGATAGCTGCTATATTGACACACGGCGTTCGCCGGTGGGGCTACACAACGACGTGATAGAGCAGCAGGGCGACAGGGCAACAGAGCAACATAGCAGCAGAGCAACAGAGCGACAGCGTGAGGACATGTCCCCCTCGCCTGCAGTAGTGCTCCCCCAATTACCCCTTCCTGCGTTAAACCCGCTTAACCTTCCTATATGTGTTTGAAAAGAAGAGTCGATAACAGTTTTTTTTTTGTTTTTTTAATTTCTCCCATTTCGGAAGCATGAACTGGAAAAAGGCTATAAGTTTGGCAGGTAAATTATGTCGCAAAGTGGAGAAGCATTTTCTTCTTTTTTTTTTATGTTGTCCCATTTTGCGCCACCACTCTGCATGTCCTTTAAGCCGCCTAAAGTTTTTTTTTTTTATGTGCCACGCACGGAGGGGAATTCAGAAAAGGAGAATCCCCCTTCAATGTGTGTGTACAGTTGCGCAACAAGGAGCCGTCTGCAAAGGGGCGAACAGACCGAAGCGATGCAGAGTGGACGGAAGGGTCCACTGCTATATTGGGCGGTTATATTCCCCCCCCCTGTGCAACCCCATTTATACCCCATATGTATGTATATATATATATTATATATATAT